GCCAGCCTGAATTGCATAGTGAGACCCTATCTCAAAAAGACAAAAAAAAAAAAGTTAATTTAATCAATGATGGATTTAATAGCTGAAACCATAATTTTTTTGAGATAGGGTCTCATTATATAATGAGATAGGGTCTTATTATATGCTGACCTTGAACTCATAGCAATCCTCCTGCCTCAGCCTCCTGAATTCTAGAGTTACAGGCATCTGCCACCCTGCCTGGATATAAAATTTAGAGATAAAAATAGTGATGTAAATCTCCATGGCTTTGGGTCTGGCAATGGATTTTTAGATTTGACCATGCAAATGTGAATAGCAAAAGAAAAAGACAAACTGGGTTTTATTTTAAAAATTTAAATATTTACACATTAAAGAACAGCACCAAGGATACAGAGACAACCTACAGAACATAGGAAAATGTTTGCAAGTCAAATATCCAATAAGGATTAGTATCTAGAATATACAAAGAATAAGTGCAACTCAACTTCAAAAATACAAACATTTGTGGGCAACGGACTTGAACAGACATCTGTCCAGAAATACACTATCTGTATAAGGAGACTTAGAAGCACATAGAGATGTTTCGTGATCACTAGGGAAATGCAAATCAAAATACATGAGTGATCACTTCCTACCCTCTAGGATGTTTTTAATTTTAAGAATGGAACTAGCTGGGTCTGGTGACACATTCCTATAATCCCAGCACTCCAAGAGACTGAGGCAGGAAGTTTGCCTATTCAAGCAAAGCCTGAGAAACTGAAGCCCTGTCTGAAAAATAAAATGGGATGGTGCTATAATATAGGTCAGTGCTAGAGCGCTGGACTCACTCTCCAGTGCTGCAAACACACCTGCACACACGCACACACACAGGCACACAAGAAAAACCAGAAACTAACAAGGCCTGGCAAAGATTTGGAGAAATCAAGCTGACACACTGCTGAAGGAAATGTAAAATGGAATAATTACTTTGCAAATCAGTCTGGCGGGTTATCACATAACTCATCCACTCTAATGACTCACAGTTCCAAGAGAAATGAAATGTGTGTTCACACACACAAAGAAACTGTATACTAATATTCACTGCAACATGATTCTTACTAGACAGAAAAACAAAGCAACACAACAGCCACTGATTTATTCATAGATAAACTGCAGTATATATGCACCACGGAATATTATTCAGCTGTAAAAAGGAACAAAACATTGACATATAGTACAAGAATGGACCTTGGAAACATGCTAAACTAAAAAGACCAAACACAAAAGTTCACATATTGTATGATTCCATTTACATGAAATGCCCAGAACAGGCAAAGCCCCAGAGACAGAAAATAGATTAGTTACCAAGGTTTAGAGGAGGGGGAAATTGAGAGTGATTACTTACTGGGTCATGTGGTATTTATCTGGAGTGATGAAAGTTTTGAAAACCAGAGAGGTGGTGGTTGCACAACATTGTGAACACACTAAATGCCACCCGTGTATGCTTAAATGTGGTTAATTGTATGTTCTGTCAATTTCACCTGAATTAAAATATAAACTTCAATTTAGAAACAGAAGGGAAACTGAAAAGCACCAACATCACCTCCAAGGTCCTGTTTGGCCCTGAGAACCTACTAGACATCTTCTTGGGTTTCACCATAGCCCTGATACGTAGGGAATGGCTGGGACTCACACCGGGGAGGTGGCTCACAGAGCTTCTAAGGGACTGTGGCAGGATCCCTCAGGCCCCCCAGATCCCAGCAGGCTCCATGGTCCCTGGGTAGGAGCTGGTGAGGTCAGGCACCAGGAACGTCTGTGGGCCTAAGCAGGGCAGGGGTTAGTGACTGAGGAGCTTGGAATGTGCTGCCTCTGAAAGGGCCTCTTGTGGCTCCACCAACGGTTAGAGCAGGAAGGGACTTTCAGAGTTACAGACTCACACACACGCACATGCACACACAGAACTGATTCAATGGTCACTTTATTTTCACAGTCAAAATCTTTTTTTTTTTTAAGACAGGGTCTTGGGGCTCAGTGATACAGCACCTGGCTGGCAAGCATGAAGTCCTGAGTTCAATTCCTGACACAAAAAAAATTAGACAATGAGACAGAGTAGTCATGCTTTGTTGCAGACTGGCCTCAAACTCATGGAAATCCTCCTGCCTTAACTTCCTGAGTGCTGGGATTACAGGTATGCGCCATCATGCCTGGGTCACTATCAAATTCTGACTACAGACTCTGCTAAGCATGTGATATTATTTTATTTCTATGCTTGTCATTGTGTCTCCATTTTACTGATGAGCAAACAGCTTCAGAAGTGAGTAGTTTAAGCAGAATTCAAACCCAGAACCAGAGGGCCACGGATGTAGCTCAGTGGTTTTTTTTTTTTTTTTTTTTTTTGCCTTTTTCCTTTTTCCTTTTTCCTTTTTATCGGTATTGGGGGTCGAACTTACAACTGCCTGCTTGCAAGGCAGGTGCTTATGCCGCTGAGCTAAATCCCCAGCCCCCTATAGCTCAGTGATTTAGGCACTCTCCTGGCAAGCACCAGGTCATGAGTTCAAACCCCAGTACAAAAAAAAAAAAGAGGACCCTTTTCAAACCTAGAACCAGACTTATTTAAAACTTCTCACATTCATTTTCTCTCCCTCCTCCCTTCTGTTTCCTCTCTCCTCCTCCCTTTCTCCTTTTTTCTCAACACATACACACCCTTTATATTTCTCATTCATAAGCTGCAGTAGTTTCTTTTCTTTTTAAAGGAAGCACTGAATAGAACCAGAGTGAGGGAGGGGCACTGGCTGGTAATCACCTCCTGCATGCATGGAACTTCACGCTTTACAAAGCTCTTTCACATTTGTGATCTCATTTGGTCTTCCAGCAGCCTTCAGACGTCAGCAGGAGGCTCAGTTGGGGCTGGGGCTCTGGCAAGATGAGTAGCCCCGACCCACACAGATGGAAAATGCTAGCTCTGGGATTAGAGCCCTGTGGCCCTGGAGCTGAGTCCTGAAAGGACCCACAGACCCCCGGCCTCTGTTTCTACAAAAAGCAGCCCAGGACCTTCCCCCTCCACCACTTTAAGGCAGAACTAGAGCTGACCAGCTGAAGGTGCTGGTGGAAGAGCAGTAGAGTCCAGCCCTCCTGCTAGGTGACCATAGCAACTCCTTCTCTGGGCTTCAGTTTTCTCCTCTATAAAGTGGGAGGAAGCAGAAGAGTATGGGAAGTTCTCTCCACACTGACATGCAGAGCCGTCTGTGAAGCTATGAGGAATTTGGAAAATCTTGGCTGAGCCAGGGTTTGGAACTTCTGGGGCGTGACTCAACTACTTTAGCCATTCACTTAGTGACCTTGAATAATGCATTTCAGCAGCTCCCAGCCTCAGTTTCTCCATCTGTAAAATGGGGAGGATAATGGTATCCACCTCTCTTAACATATTTCATTCGTACAGACTTTTTTTTTTTTTTGTCTTTTTCTTTTTTTATTGGTACCGGGGATTGAACTCACGACCGCCTGCTTGCAAGGCAGGTGCTTATGCCGCTGAGCTAAATCCCCAGCCCCAGACTTTTTTTTCATACAGACTTTTGACACACTCTCCAAATAAGGATGGTGACACACAGTCACGTAGTCCTGGAAGTCAAGAAAGGTGATGTTTATCAGACTTTGGGACTTCTGTGTCTCTGTAGACCGTCACTGTCTGTAGGCTCTGAATGAAAATACAGATTATCTTGAGTAGCACTACTGAATTGGAATCCAGTGCCCAGTTTAAAGCATTTATTTATTTATTGCTTTATTCACCTCATTTATTGTAAGCATTTGAAAATACTAACATTTCTTGGTGGGAATGTAAACTAGTACAACCACAATGGAGATCAGCATGGAGATCCCTCAAAAAACTAAAACTATAAATTCCAGTTGATCCAGCTAGTCCCCTCCTAGGTACCTTTCTGAATGAGTTGAAGACATTGTATTATAATGATACATGCACGATGCACGCCCATGTTTATAGCAGCACAATTCAAAAAGCTTAATCTTGGAAGAAGCCTACATGTCCATCAACAGAGGAGTGAATAAAGGAAAATGTGGTATTGAGTTTGATCCCTGGTACCAAAAATAAAAAGTAATATTTACACACAATGGAGTACTACTGTGTCCCAAAAGAGGATAAATGAGTCATTTGTAGGAAAATGGATGCAGACACACAAACTTAAATATTCTGCGGTTTCTCTTATATGAGAAACACAAATTATAAGTAAAGAAAAAATAAGATACATAATAAGAAGTAAAGAGCCAGGTGCCATAGTACACAACTCTAATCTCAGTACTTGGGAAACCGAGGCAGGAGGATCACTGTGAGCTGGAGGCCAGCATGAACTACACAGGGAGACCTTGTCTCAAAAAAAAAAAAAAAATAGAGACGTCATCTTAAATGCGAAGGGGAGATCGAGAGATGGAGGGGGAGAGAAGAGGGAAGAGAGGGAAGATTAAGGGAGAGGACGAAAAAAGGGATTAAGATGTTTTAGGTATGGGGCCAGGGATAAAGACAGAGCCACACTGATTGCCTGGCAAGCATGAAGTCATGAGTTCGATTCATGGAACCCAAAAAAGGAAAAAAACAAAAAGATGTGTTAGGTACTGACACCAACCACACATAAGGAATATAAACACTATGTATTAATAAAAAGTTTAAAAATTACAATTTTCTGTGTCCTTGGTTTGTCATTTATTCACTTTCTAGTACAACCGAAGTCTTAAAGCAATGCCCGCGGAGGGGCTTCAGGTCTCACCGCGAAGTCCTGAATGGCAGCTGGGATGATTCCTGGAGTTGGAAATAACCACCAGAGTAAATAATAATAATATAATAGTAATAAAAATCACATTTACAATTCACTGCGTAGCTTTCAGACAGCTTTTGCATGTTTCGTCCCGCCCCCTGACGCGCCGGCAAGGTAGTTGTGGGGTTGTGTTGTACTCTTTTGCAGTACAGGAACCAAAGCCAGACCCGCCCGGGAGAGGGCGGCGCCCGGGGCTGGGCGCCGGCTCGGGGCAGGTGCGCAGATCCGCAGGGGAATCCTCGGCCCCACCTGGGCGCGCCAAGGAAATTGCACCATGTATGGGCAGCTACGTCAGAGGGGGCAGGCCCGTCACGGCAGCCGGGGACGCCGAGCCTGCCCATTCTCCCCAAGAAAAGGCAGCTGCCCGCAGGAGGAGGGATCGAAGAGCTCGGTGCGGACCGGCGAAAGGCGGCGCGTCTGGAGAGGTGGGGCCCTGAGGGGACCGCGCGGCTCGGAAACGCTCCCACCCCCCCCCGCGGTCGCAGTGGTTCAGCCCGTAAATTTTTCATTCATAAAAAGAAAAGCCTGCAACGCGCGAGTGAGTCAGACCCCGCCAGCCGCGAGCCGCCGACGCGGACCCCACCGAGCAGCCAGCCCAGGGCATGTACCGAGACTTCGGGGAGCCCGGACCGAGCTCCGGGGCCGGCAGCGTGTACGGCGGGCCCCCCTCCTCCGCGGCGCAGGCGGCCGCCCAGCAGGTGAGACGGGCGGGATCCTCGGGTCCCGGAGTGCACAGGGCTTGGGTCGCCGGGTCGGCTGCGGTGCGCTTCGGGACGAGGGCCTGGACCCGGAGCGGAGACCGGGGCCGGGGCCGGGGCCGGGGCCGGGGGCGGGGGCCTGCGGATTCTCCATTGTCCAGGGACCCGTGTCACCCGCGCCAGCACCCAGGGAAATGCGCGGGCCAGCGCACCGAAGGTCTACTGACCACCCTCTTCCTTCGGTCCCCTTCTCCCTCGCTGTCTGCGGTCTGTCCGTCCCTGTGTCTCCGTTACCGTCTTGTCTTTTCCTTCTGTCCGCCGCCAAGATCTGTGTCTCACCTGCCTCCGGCCCGCTCTCCATCCTGGGCTGAATTCCCAGGACCTGGTCTGTGGCAGAGACGTCCCGACACAGAAGGGAGAAAGGATTTGTGCGGGAACCGCCTGGGCAGAGTGGGAATCCTTGGCAGTCCGTGACTGTCCGTGTGTCTGTCTATTCGTCCATCCGTCTCTGCCCCGTCGCCGGGGCATTGCGTTCTCCGCGCAGTGGACCTTAATGGGTTCCAGGAGACTGATTCCTGACCCTAGTGAGGGACAAAACAAATAGAGACCTCAAGGTGCCAGGTGGTGCACGGGGTCACGCAGCCCTCGCCACCCCTGCGCTCCCGCCTCTCCACACCGAACGGCGCCCACTGCCGGCTGGGGGGACCCGCCAGGCTGCTGTTGCAGGTGCCCATTTCCTGTCGAGGGGCTGCGAGCACGTGTCGCAGGGGAGGGAAGGAGCGGCGTCCGTTCCGCAGAGTCACGGTGGCCGAGTCACGGCGGCTGAGTCACCCCTGGCGCCCCTCCCTTCCTGGCCCAAAGTGCCCAGTCCCGGGCAACTTCGGGCGCGGGAGAGGCTGGCGGCAGTGCCTCGGGCCCGGAACTGGGGTCACTGTGTCGTCGCGGGGATCACAGTATTGAGCTAGGGCTTGCCTGGGCTTGGTGGGTATTTCCTGGACAGCTGGGCCACACACCCGGAGCCTAGCCGCAGGGCTTGAACCCAGATCTCTTCCCAGAACACTGAACCCACATCCCGACCCATTGCTCAAATTTCTAGCTGAAAGAAAATGATCCCTGGTAATGATGGCGGTGCTGAGTGCCAGGCAAACCACTAGGCTCTTTCCTTGCCATATTTCAAGGATCAAAGATCCTATACATTTAAAAGCTCACTATTATTTTTAAACCACTGTTTTCTTTTTAAGTTGCCAATGAAATTACGATTTCAGAGCTATTAAAGCTCTACTTAGGGCTGGGGATTTAGCTCAGTGGCGTTAAGTGTCTGCCTGACAAGTACAAGGTCATAGGTTCCATCCCCAGTTCAAAAAAACAAAACAAAACCCTACTTGTTAGGACCAATAAAATGCTATAAACTTCAATTATGATAATATTAAAAAATAAGGAATTTGGGACACATTGAGGTTAAACAACTTGCTTGGTGAGGCAGTGGCTGAGCTGAAATTCCAAGTGGGACAGGCTGAGTCCAGAGCAGCAGCTCCTGCCTGTCATAGCCCCCTTACCTTGGGCATGTCATTTTCCAGACAGACGGGCATTCTCTCACTCGATTCTCACAGCCACACTGGAAGCTATTGGTAGGCGCTATTGGTAGTTATTCTCTTCGGTGGCTGTCGAAGAAATGGATGAGAGCACAGCCACTCAGGCTCAAATTCCATTTCCTACTTACTGTCCCTGTCTGTGGACGACAGTATTCTTGTCTGGAAATGAAGGTACTGTTGTGCCAGCTAGGTGAGTCACTGTTTGGAAGGTGATTAGAACAGTGCCAGACAGTTTACCCTTGATAAGAATTAGCTGCGATGGGGAAACAGACACAGAGAGGTGATGTAACCTGCCCAAAGTTACATAGCTCATAATCTGCCACCAAGTCAGTTTTCTTTCTGGTTTCCCTGAGCTTGTGTCTGCATGGAAATTGGACAGAATTTGGAAGCCTCTCAGTATACATCCCTCACTCTTCATTTCGTATCCCTTAGAAGTTCCACCTTGTGCCAAGCATCAATGCTGTGAGTGGCAGCCAGGAATTGCAGTGGATGGTTCAGCCTCATTTCCTGGGACCGAGCAGCTACCCCAGACCTCTGGTGTACCCCCAATACAGTTCCCCACAGCCACAACCCCGGCCAGGCGTCATTCGGGTCCTGGGGCCCCCTCCAGGTGTGCGGCGACGGCCTTGTGAACAGGTAAGCAACAGAGGTGTTGCACTGGTGCTGTCTGCCCACAGGGTGCTGTGTGCTGACCAAGCTCTTGCTGAACAATACAGAGTTACAAGGGGGAAAGTGGGACCATTATGAGCACTGCACAAGGCAGAAAGTCATAAGGAAGGTCCAGAGGGCAGAGAGGTCACTTCTGGATCACAAGAAGCCTCCTGGTGAAGGTGGCATGTAACTTAGAAGGTAGGTGGAATTTGCATAGGCAGAGCTGCAGGAAAGGCCTTTCCAGGGAGAGGAATGGCAGGAGCAAGCACCAAGGTAGAAGGGAGAGAATGTAAAGTATGCACGTGGAGCAGTGAGAGGGTCTCCCCTGCTGATGTGTGTGGTGGGTGTGGACTTTCACTGTCAGTAGCTGGAGAAAGAACAGGAATGCCAGGGTTCCATTTAGCTATTCTCTGGGTCTCAGAGACCTTCCTTCCCTTTCTCATTTAGCTCTCACAAAACCCTCTAGGGGATATACTTTGGCCTTTTCCGTCTTCCAGCTGAGAAAACCAAGGCACAGAGAGATAGTCACTTGCCTAGAATCACACAAGACAGGCCTTGGCTCCGGATTCACCCATCTCTAAAGTCAGATCCTGAGTATGCAGGAGCTAACCAAAGGCTCCTGGCAGAAGGAGCTGGGAACTCGTGTCTCCTCCAAGTAAACTAGTAAGAGATGGAAAGTCTGTGGTTCCTCTTTCCTCTCCTTGGGTGGGGTTCGGTATGAGACTAGGGTGGGATGAGGTCTCCAGATTGAAAGCTTGGCCTGTTCTGGACATGGTGGTACAGTTTGTAATCCTTGCACTTGGAAGGCTGAGGCAGGAGGTTGAAGAGTTTAAGGCCTGGGGCTGGGGATTTTGCTTAGCGGCATAAGCACCTGCCTTTGAAGTCGTGAGTTCAGTTCCTGGTACTGATAAAAAAAAAAAAAAAGTTCAAGGCCATCCTGAGCCATATAGCTATCTAGCAAATTAGAAGCCACTTTGAGACATGAGACCTTATTTTAAAAAAAAAAAAGACAAAAAGCTTGTTTTTAGGGGTGAGCAGAGGATGGGGGAGTTAGTTGGGGAGACTGGGAGAGATGCGAGATCTATCAGGGATAATGTCCCAGAAACAGAATGACTAGCTTTTGTGAGTAGCTGAAGAAAGGGACTGGGATGTGAGGAGCAGAGCAGGAGTAAACCTTCCACGCCGTACGTCTTCCTTCAGCCTTGTTCTGAGTAGGACCCTTTGATCCTGGGTATTACCAGGTTGGAACTGAGCTGTCAGTGGGGTCCTGCTGGGAGAGGTGGCCTCCATCAAGTGCCTCTCCCTCAGTGGAAAAAGAGTGCTTCGATATTAACTCCTACTCTGGAACCATGAATGAGGTATTCATCCTCCAGGGGCTTCATTTCCTTACATGGGAAATTGACCAAGAATCTGTGTAAGGGCTGGGGATGTGGTTCACTACTAGAGTGCTTGCCTAGCATTGGTCAGCGCAGCAGGAAAAAAGGTATAGAAATAGTCATGTATGTGAAGAGCCTCACTGGCACATAGTAGGCACACAATAGTTGCAACTTACTTGGCAGCATTCATGAGCCCTTCTTCAAGTTTGTGGTTCCTGGGATAAGAGATTTGGTCTTCCAGAGAGATAGAAGGATGAGTCCTGTAAAAGGGATAACCCAGGCCCAGGTTCTCAGAGGAGGGAAGACTACTCCTGGTTAGAGAATGAGAAGACTTCCAGCGGGTGGGGGCATCTTACCTGAACCCTAAGTTGGGTTTGGGGCGGGGGCATTATGGGAGAGAAATAGGTGCTAAAGCCAAGACTGTGAAAAATTTAACCAAGCAAAGGAGTACCTGAGGGGGCCAGGGATACAGCTCAGCAGCGCAGTGCTTGCCTGGCAAGTGCAAGGTCCTGAGTTTGATTTCTGGTACCCCCCAAGCCCCTTCCCCCAAAAAAGTAGTTGGGGTGCGATGGTCCCTAAATTACAGGCTGACCCCACCTCTACCCCATGCTGCCAAGCTTCTGCTACAGTCTTACCCCTGGATCACCAAGGCTGGTAAGCTCTGGGAGCCAGTGGCCTGGGGTCTGCCTCACTTGGCCCAATCTACAACCCTTAGATCAGCCCGGAGGAAGAGGAGCGCCGCCGAGTGAGGCGTGAGCGGAACAAACTGGCAGCAGCCAAGTGCAGGAACCGGAGGAAGGAACTGACTGACTTCCTGCAGGCAGTGAGTGCTGGTTCTGGCCCAGTGGGCCTGGGAGGGGCTTCATCTCCCTTGGGGCCCCAGTCCCTATTAGTACCCCACAACCCACCCTAGCTCTGTGTCTGAAGGGGAGTCCTTCTGGGCAAAGGAGGAAAATAGAATTAAAAATTTGTTGTAATGCACTAATAGCAGAGCATAGCCAAGGCCTTCTGGCAGTCTCCTTCCAATCTGCCCACGGCCTAATGGGAGTCATGCCTATTTTCTCCCATGGACTCATGGGAGTTGCAGTCCAGACCTGCTGAGGAACCCGCCCCTCAGGCATCTGGGTCTTCAGCCTTCATCTTCCCAACCTTTTCCTCTGGTCCTCTGTAGGAGACTGACAAACTGGAGGATGAGAAATCCGGGCTGCAGCGAGAGATAGAGGAGTTGCAGAAGCAGAAGGAGCGCCTGGAGCTGGTGCTAGAAGCCCACCGCCCCATCTGCAAAATCCCAGAAGCAGACAAGGACAGGGATCCAGGTGGTGCCAGCAGTACCAGTGGCACCAGCAGCCCATCAGCGCCCTGCTGCCCTGTACCTTGTATCTCCCTTTCCCCAGGGCCTGTGCTTGAACCTGAGGCATTGCACACGCCAACACTCATGACCACACCCTCTCTGACTCCTTTTACTCCCAGTCTGGTCTTCACCTATCCCAGCACTCCTGAGCCCTGTGCCTCAGCTCATCGAAAGAGTAGCAGCAGCAGTGGGGACCCATCTTCAGACCCCCTGGGCTCCCCAACACTCCTTGCTTTGTGAGACACCCAGCTCCACCCCTGCAGATGCTACCCTCACCAACATTTCCCTTTCCTCCATTGGTCCAGCCGGCCTGGATCACATTCCATACTCAATGATGGTAGTTCTCCTGCATCCCTTCTGATGACACTTGGGCATATTTTGCTTTTCAGTCAAGTCAGCTTGGGGCTACCAACACTGATCACTGTCTCTAGAGCTGGCCTCTCCACCTAATTTTTGCACTAAATCAGAGACAAGTATTTCCCATATGTACCAAAGCAATGCTGGCAAACCAAAAGACTAAGCCTATTCCATTCTAGACCACTCCAAACTCCATCACCCTCTTGTTGTTTTGATCCACCCACACTCACCCTGACAGAAGGTGCCTTTTTATCAGCCTAGAACACTAACTTACCCAGCCGCACTGTCAGCAGCACCAGGTGATTGGACTAGGGTGTTCTGCAAGCCCCTCCTGATGGCACTGCTCAGGAGGTGCCAGAGGCTTCTGTGATGCGCTAACCTGCAGCCCCCAGCTCTGAGAAGCCTCTAGCTCCAGGAAATCCAAGCCCCCACAGAGAGGGCAGCTGCTATTTATTTTCCTAGAGAGAGTATTTTTATACAGTACTGCCAAAATGGAATAAAAGTCTTGATGCTCTGGCCTGGATGTCTGTTTGGAGGCAATTTGTAGCCTAAAGCTCTAGGTTCCACCCTCAGTTCTTGACTGCGTGACCTTGGACAAATTCTTTAATATTTTTTGGACTTCAACTGTCTTATCTGACAAATGGGGGGGTACATCTGCTCTGCCACATCTATAGGATTAAAAGTACTGTGGGGTGCAAGCAAAGATCATCCTGGGGGTCCCTCAGTGCTCTTGCTTGTGCCGTAGGGGGGCGCCAGTATGTCCCTTTCCACCTTCCGAGAAGGGCCAGTGGGTTCTAGGGCCCCCGACACCTGCTTCCTGCCCCATTGTCTTGGACAGGAAGGAGGCAGGGAGGGAGCTGGAGCTACTTCAGGGATGCCCCGGCACCGAACGGGGGAAGTCCATGGTTTACCGCCATCCCGCTTCCCACCCCAGACTGGAGATAATGGGAGAGTCAGCCACCTTAGTTCGGCAGTCCCTTTGGATGAGTGCTACCTCGTCTCAGCGTTTCTGCCCTCATCCCAAATAGACGCTTCCAAGGTTCGGGCTCCGCTTCCGTCCTGGTTTATTAGTCTCCACCCAACCCCCACCAAGTCCCTCCACTCCAGCCTCCAGTCCCCCTGCTGCCCCGCCAGCGAGATCAAGGGGTCTTCCTTAGTACCAGGGCTTTTCCGTCCATGCCAGCGGCCACTAGTGCGCAGCGTGGGCAGCGCCCAGGTCCCGCGGTTCACGCGCTCAGTTCTAGCGCTCAGGGAGCGATCTGGGCGGACGTCGGCGTAGAAGCAGAGCCTTCAGTCTTCTGGGGAGCAGGCCAGTGGTAACTGGTCGGGGCTGCCCACGCTACCGGTGCTGGAGCTCCCGTCGCCTAGGTCTCGGGGTCCGCAGGGGGGCAGGGCAAGCTCGGGTGTGGGCGCGGTGCCAGAGCTTCCCGCGCCTGCGGGGCCGCCGCGAGGACCCCACTCCTCGCCCAACGCCAGGCAGAGCTCCTTAAGCGCCAGGTTCTCCCGCAGCAGCTCCTCCTGGCGGCCCTCCAGCTCCGCTAGCTTCTGCCAACAGCCGCCCAGGTCCTCACGCACCGCTCTGGATGCTTGGGTCCCGAAAAGCTGCCACTGGCGCGCCGCGCGCCGCCCGCGCTGACGCTCCGAGTCCAGAAAACAGCAGAGGTCGCGCAGCTCTCGGTTCTCGGCCTGCAAGCGCCGGTTGAGCTGCTTGAGCTCTCGGATCTCGCCTAGGTGACCCTGCAGCTGCCGATTCACCTCCTGCATGAGGCGGCCTCGCTGCACCAGTGCAGCCAGGCGCGCCGCCTCCTCTCGCCTCAGGCGCCGCACCAGCTCCTCCTTGCCCAGCGCCGCCATCTCGTCGTCCGTCAGCTCCTCCAGGCCGCCTGCCTCGGCCTCCATGGCTGCTCGGGCCGCTGGAGCATCACCCGGTCGCCGCGGCGGTCCAGAAGCCCACGTCCGGTCCGGGGCAGCTTGGACTCAAGGGCCCGCTCAGCGGGCGGCGGACAGTGGCGGAGGTAGCGTAGGGTGCAGCAACCACCCGGGGATGGGCACGCGGCGGGGCGCGCGCCGGGGCGGAGCTGAATGACGTTTAGGAAGGACAGCCAATCGGGGAAGCTTTTGGGAAAGGGGCGGAGCCTGGGCGCCGCTAGCCAGTTCCCCGCCCACTCCTGACCGTGAGGTAGCGGCTCACTGGGCAGGATTTAGGCTTCCTCCGCCTCTGTGCTAGTCTTATAATCCGACTTGGAGACAAGTTCCAAATCTCCTCAAGCTTGAGTCTAGACTACTTCAAAAGTTTCGGGCGTCCTCTCTGTCTCCTGATAACCAACCGTAAGAATGAACCCACATGTTGCTATCCAAGTCATGCCTAAATCAAGCTGGAGTCTCAGCTCACTAACCATCGTTCCCAACTAACTCCTCAGAATCCGGAATCCAAAAGTCCTGGCTCATTTATTAGTCTCCTCTCTCCCCCCACCCACTCCCGGGAGTGTTTCCTGCGCGGAAGGAGTGGGGATCCAAGGGACTCATTTGTTCAATAAACTTTAACTTTGTGTAAGACCCATGCAGAAATACACTCGACCAGAATACTGAGCTTAACCTATAAAGTCACAATCTGGCAGAGAAAACAGGCACATGTGGGAGGAGGGTAGGGGATGTGGATCAGTGATAGAGAATTTGCCCAGCACAAACAAGGCCCTTCTGGACTTTCAGCACTAAAAAGAAAAAACGAATGGAAGAGAGCAGGATTACAGTCTCAGGGATCTCAAAAATACTTGCCAAAAGAGGTGACACCAAAGGGATTCTGAAAGATGCATAGGACTTTGTTACGTGAAGAGAGATCTATGCGAGGGAGAGGGAATAGTATGGTGGAAAAAAACACTGATGCCAGAAAAAGCCTAACTGCTTTAGAAACAATGAGAGTAGCTTGATCCCTATCCAAAGGCAGATGGGTGCAGAAAGTGGCAAAACAGAGGGAGCCTTCAGGGAGGGTGGAAAAAAATTTTAAGAGTTTTTCAATACTAGATTGGAGTGTTTCCAAAGGCCAGTAAGGATTTTAAACATGGGAGTAACATTTTAAAATATGCATTTAAAGAAGATTGTTCAGCTGCTCTGTGTGGGATGGGCCCTGGAAGGAAAGGATGTAAACTGTGAGATTAGTAACACTGTGTCCAATGTGCAAGAAGAGCTATGCAGAAAGACTAGGTTGGGACTGTGATCGTGGGAGTGGAGAAAATGAACCAAATACAACAGATATTTATGCAGCAAATCAGCAGAACTAAAAGCCAGGAGAAAAGAAATCTGGGAGACAGCCCAGGTTTCTACTGTGAGAACTGGGTGGATGTTGAGGCTGCAACTGCAATACGGATGCAAATTAGGGAGACTAGAGGTCTGTCTAGAAGGTGTTGAAAGTTCAAAAGGTTTATGGGAAAACCAGGTGGATGTGGACAGACTTGGTCCATAGGCAGTCAGGCAGGTGGGGGGCTTCCAGGAGGACTCAGAGGGACAAAATAAGAGACATCATTAGCTTGTGTAGGGAGGGGTGTGTGGTTAAAACCGTATGGGAGCTGGTACCCATTGCCCAAGACAGGGGCTCTGCTACAGGAGGGACACAGGTGCCCCTAGCAAGATCCCTAGGGAAGTAGGGCCCCACACTCGTTTTGCAGAGAAGACATTTAGGATAGAGCCCTGTGAAACCTCTAAATTTAGGATACAGGTCAAAGTTGGAAGATTCAGAGGGCAAAGGTGGGAGAAAAAGCCAGGAGGAAGTGAAGAGAGTTTGAGGGGGAGGGGAAGAGGATGAGGATAGTTTTTTTGAGACCTCGCTATGTAGTTCAGTCTGATGATCTTGAATTTCCTGTGTAACCTAGGCTGGGCTGGAATTTGCAAAGATCCTCCTGCCTTAGCCTCCCTCTCAAGTGCTGGGATTATAGGAGTGTGCCACCATGCCCCACTAGGCGGCAGCGCTCTGGACGCCCTCCTCAAAAACAGCTGGGAAGGTCAGAGTAGAGAGGGGAGAGGAACCTAGAATTTTTCTCCCAAATTAAGGATCTGCTACTCTGCAGCCCAGGCCTCCGCCTTTTATTCTTGTGGCTCCTGCCCCCACCGGAAATGGTCCTTCACTGGCTCCGGGCAGCCGGAGCAGAATCTGTGCGCTCCCGGAAGTGGCCTGGCGGCTGCGCGCCCAGCCCGGGCCGTGCTAGCTTCTGCTCGGGACTCTGCGGGCCCGGGCATAGCCATGACCAGTGAGCTAGACATCTTTGTGGGGAATACGACTCTTATCGACGAGGACGTGTATCGCCTCTGGCTAGATGGCTACTCAGGTCTGTGTACGGCCGTCCGGGGAATCCATAGGACCGAGCATTGTTTTGTATGGGACAGGGGCGGAACCAGGATTTGCGCGTTCTTTAGAGAAGTCTGCAAGCGCCTGGGAATAACGGATGTAGAGAAGTTGGGGGCCGAAATCCTTGGGGGTCTCTAGGGTTGACACAGTGGCGTTGATATTAGTGCCCACTCTCCAGTGAGCGATGCGGTAGCTCTGCGAGTGCGCTCCGGAATCCTGGAGCAGACAGGGGCCACGGCAGCCGTGCTGCAGAGCGACACCATGGACCACTATCGTACCTTCCACATGCTCGAGCGCCTGCTGCACGCACCCCCCAAACTGCTGCACCAGCTCATCTTCCAGATCCCGCCCTCCCGGCAGGCGCTGCTCATTGAGAGGTGCTCACTTGGTGGATGGTGGGGACGCTAACCAGTATAACCATATACCCACTTTGCAGACTGAACCTGAGGTCCAGGGAGGGACGGGACTTACTCAGGATCTCAGAAAGCTGACAGCAGAAGGGGTCCCGCCAGACTCTTCTCCTTTACGAAGAAGGGTCAGTGATGTCCTGCCTCCACCAGGTACTATGCTTTTGATGAGGCCTTTGTTCGGGAGGTCCTGGGCAAGAAGCTGTCCAAGGGTACCAAGAAAGACCTGGATGACATCAGCACCAAAACAGGCATCACCCTTAAAAGCTGCCGGAGACAGGTGGGCACTGCACCACATATGTAGCACATGCCACCTACCATCCACCTCCTCACATCATCCCTTGGCCATTGCCCCTGCTCTGTTCTCTGAGTGTGGCAGCAATTTCCTACGTGTTTCTTCTCCCCCTTTTTGTCTCTGTTGAGCCATCCCCTCTATTACGGCCAGAGTGGCTTTTCAGACCCAGATCTGACCATGACTTTCCCCTGCTCCAATTTTGATTGGCTCCCATTAGTTCCTGGGTGGCAACTGCAGTCCTTGTCCTTGACCTTTAGACTCTCCTGCACACCTCTCCAGGTTTATGTTTCTCTTACATTTTGCTCATCTTGCTCCTACTTGGAGGGTACTGCTCTTGGCTATATCTATTCCTTGAAGACAAAGGCAGGGGACCACAAGACTTTTTGGAAGTGCTAAGGAGAAGTAACCTTTCTGGGCCTTTCATGCCTTTTTTTCCTGTGTCTCCTGTGAGCTCCTATACATACCTTAGCATTCACTCCATTTCAGGCTCCTAGAATTTGACCAGAAGAGTCTGTTCTAGCTCAGACTTCTGAAGAATTGGAAAGTATGACACTAAAATGGAGTTGAGCCTGGAACTAGGAGTTGAGTAGACATTTGTCCTAGGCAACATGACAGAAGCCGATAAATATGTGTTGACTTAACAACTACTAATAACTGATAGTTTGTTGAAGGAATAACAAGTGTTAAGGAGAGAGAAGGTTATTCAGTAAGCTTTCATTGTTTTGTTTTTTTTCCTTTTGTGTCTTTTTGAAACAGAATTGTTTTATGCGTTCAGGCTGGCCTTGAGCTCACTATGTAGCCCTGGTCTCAAACTTACAACGATCTCCTGTCTCAGCCTTCTCAGTGCTGGGATTTCAGGCGTACCACCACGCCTGGCTCAGTAAGCTTTCATTAGGTGAGTGCTTTCTAATCAGTTCTCTTCCTCCCTGAACTGCTCTACAGTTTGACAACTTTAAGCGAGTCTTCAAGGTAGTGGAGGAAATGCGGGGCTCCCTTGTGGATAACATCCAGCAACACTTCCTCCTCTCCGACCGCTTATCCAGGTGAGGGGCCAGCCATCTGTGCACCTGCACACATCCTCCCAGCTGTAAAGTAGTCACTTTCCCCACCTCAGTCACATTCACTCCTCCTCCTGGCTGCTCTGGGGAGGGTGGTTATCCCACTTTTAGTCTGTACTTTAGATCAGACTGGCCTGGATTTGAATCCCAGCAGGATCATTTTCTAGCTGGGCTGTTGTGAATGGCACATGTAAAGCTCTTAGGAAGTGTTCAGTGGTGATATCCTTGTGGCTAATATCCTTGTAGTCTCCCAAGCCACAAGGATATCACCACTGAACGTGGCTGCCAAGCTGTGTCCCTTCAGAAGCCTAGGCAGAAATCTCTGCAGAACTGAGGAGGCCCGTAGAGACGTGACTTGAGACACATAACACAGTGGGTCAGGGCAGAAAAGAGGCCACGATTTGACTGCCTAGGCTGTCTGCAAACTTGCCTTCTACCCACCTCAGTCTCCCAAGTAGCCACAAAAACAGGCAGAAACTTTTTTTGCAGTACTGGGGATTTATTCCAGTGCTTCCACACTTAGGTACATCATTACCCCTTCTAGAATTTTAAAAATCTTGATAAAGTCTCACTAAGTCAGTAACTCTTGTAATCCTCTTCTCAAGAGCTGGGATTATAGGGATACATTGCCATACCCAACTAGAAGTTGTGTTTTTTTTTTTTTTCTCAACGATATTTATTGAGTAAGCTTAATATTCAGCATACTACAATAGGCTCAATGAGAAGGACTTTGAAGCCTTGAGAGGACCCATTGTCCTCTACCCGCAGGGACTATGCAGCTATCGTCTTCTTTGCCAATAACCGCTTTGAGACAGGGAAGAAGAAATTGCAGTATCTGAGCTTTGGTGACTTTGCCTTCTGTGCTGAGCTCATGATCCAGAACTGGACCCTTGGAGCCGTCGGTGAGGCCCCCACTGATCCAGGTGCCTGGATGCTCCTCACCCTCTCAGAGCCTGGTTCCCCACCAGCAGTTCCTCCTGCAGGTCCCCATTCCCAGCATTCTTTCTTCTCATCTTTCTGAAACCAGGCCTCAATATATGTCCAGGCTGACCTTGAACTTCCCTTCATCCTGCCTCAGCCTCCAGAGTGCTGGGAGTATAGGGATGCACGATGCCCAGCTTATCTCCTTTCCTCTTCTTGCCTCTCCCCAGCCTTGAGTCCCTTCTGCTCATAGCCCACATTCCCCATGCATACCTTGTCTGTAAGCCAACGGCTCACTGCTTCTCTGTCCCCTGAAGCGTGTCACTCCCCCTCTGGGACCCCAGTTTCCATGTGTCCCATGGGGTTCAGTGAGTGGTGGGTGAGGTGGGTTCAGGATCTCATGGAGGATGTTTATCACCCACCCCAACTCCCTTCATGGACCTTCTGCAGACTCCCAGGTGGATGATATGGATGTTGACTTAGACAAGGAGTTTCTCCAGGACTTGAAGGAGCTCAAGGTGCTGGTAGCTGACAAGGACCTTCTGGACTTGCACAAGAGGTGACTTAGGGGTCCATGGGGCAGGGTCTGGAATAGGGCTCGGTAGCTCAAAGCATGACACTCTCTTCCTGCAGCCTGGTGTGCACCACCCTCCGGGGAAAACTCACTGTCTTCTCTGAGATGGAAGCTAACTTCAAGGTCTGTGGCCCCATCCAGCCTTTCTCTTGGGCATCTTCAGCCTCCCTGTACCACTCCTGCCTGGCAGCTCAGCACTGGCTGGAGATTGATGGGCAGGCAGCACTGCACTCCTCTGCCTGCCTGTGAGGGAAAACCAGGCCATAAACAGGGGATCTGGTCAATTGCGGGAGGTGGATAGATGTGGTGAGGGGCCTGCCCCTCCCCCAGCCTCTGTGCTCAGCCCCCAGCATCTGGGGCAGAAAGAAGAACTCCTAGGATCCCTGCCCCACAGAACCTCTCACGGGGGCTGGTGAACGTGGCTGCCAAGCTGACCCACAATAAGGACGTCAGAGACCTGTTTGTGGACCTTGTGGAGAAGGTGAGCTGCCCACCCCCCATCCTCCCATCCTTGCTTGGCCCTCCCCGGGTGTACGGGTAGCACTAGATGGTCCTTTGTGCCCACAGTTTGTGGAACCCTGCCGCTCCGACCACTGGCCACTGGCTGATGTGCGGCTCTTCCTGAATCAGTATTCAGCATCTGTCCATTCCCTGGATGGCTTCCGGTAAGAGACCCCAGTTCTCCTGACCTTGACCCTAGCTGGCCATTTGTCTCAGGTTCCCCAGTGTGCCCCTGGGGGTTGAAGTTTTAACTTCAACCACTTAGAATCTGTGTGACCTTGGTCAAGTTACTTGATCTCTCCATGCCTGTTTCCTCATTGGTAAACTGGGTGTAATAATTAGAATAATCGTGAGAATTTATGAGGGCTGGGCTGGGGATTTAGCTTAGCGGCATAAGTGCCTGCCTTGCAAGCAGGCAGTCGTGAGTTCAATCCCCGGTACCGATAAAAAGGAAAAAGACCAAAAAAAAAAAAAACAAAAAAAAAAAAAAAAAAGAATTTATGAGGGCTGATTGGGCTAGGGATGTGCAACACCTGTCTGGCTTGTGCAAGGCCCTGACTTCAGCACCCAGCACCACCCGACAGGGAAAAGACCTGAGGAGGACTGACTGAGCTAGTTTATAGAAAGCACTCAGCAGTGTCTGGCCTGTAGAGCACGGCACTGTGGCTATTTCCATTCCAGGCACCAGGCCCTCTGGGACCGCTACATGGGCACCCTCCGTGGCTGCCTCCTCCGCCTCTATCATGACTAAGAGCCCCATCCCGCTCATCATGACAATAAAGATGCCATTGGACATTGAGCCTTGCTCTAGGGGAAGAGCACATGTGTGTCCCCGAGTGCCACAGTGTTCGTGTACAAAGGTACAGCATACTGCAGCCCATCGGGAATTAGGGTGGGTCAGAGAAACCGTCTGCTATCTCCATCTGCCATCTCTAAGTTTCAGCTGACTCCACTTGGGCAGCAGAAGCCTTGCCTTGATTTATTCACATGGTTTAGAGAATCTTGGGAGAACAACGAAGGGGATGGGGCAGTGGGGAGGCAGCTGGCGTGTGGGAGAGGCTCAGGGCGGGCAGGAGACCGGCTGCTGCTTAGCTGAATTGTCTACACGGGCTGTGATTGGGTACTTGGTGATGCCACAAGTGTTGCTCCCTCGGTGCAATCGGAAGTAGCCCTAGGGAATTGGAGGACATCAGGGTCAGAAGTGGGGGAAGAGCCTGTTCTGCCCTGTCCTTTCTGCCAATGAACCTGCTCACCTCCTCACCCCAGTTGGCCCCCCAGGAGTTCTTCAGGATCCAGTAGGGGATGGAATGGCGAGGAGGACGGTTGGAATGGGACAAGTCTGTCTCCGTCCATTTCTCCTCCTCTGCTTTGCTTCTGCCATAACCCACCAGCAGGACGTAATGGTCCACAAACCAGGGGTCACATTTAGAGGATGTGCCCTTGATTATACCCTTCTTGTAATGCTGCAGAGGTGGGAGAAAAGGGGATGAGTTGGGGGCACCTCCCCCACATTCCCCTCTCCCCCATCCCCTACCCGACGTACCTGCAATATCTTTGAATTGATGATCACAGTGATGGGGCCCTGCGTGGCCACATACCTGGCAATCCCTGGAGACAGAGTGTGCTATCAGGCGCTACTGCGCTTGGCATCTAGGAGTCCCTCTCTCCTCCCTGCCCCTGCCCCCCCCCGTCCCATGCCTATTGTCTCCTCCCCAACTCCACCCATGTCTCCCACACTGGCCATACCCTGTTCATCTCGAGGCAGCATGATATAGTCGTAGATCCAGGCCACCTTCCTGTAGTTCGATGCCAGGCACTTATGGATGTTGGCATGCCCCCGGAATGGGTAGTCCTTTTCACTGGCCAGGCCACCTGGAGACAAGGCAGGAGCCTTACTTCCTGGATGTCCCCCACCTCTGTAGTTGTCCAGCAAGGCCAAGTACTCACTGTAGTTGAGGACAGTAATGAACGCGTCCCAGATGTAGCCACCCGCGCAGCCATCCTCACAGCGGGCACAGTCGAGCAGCTCTGGGGCAAAAAGGGACAGCATGGGTGACCATGCCCCTAGTCCTCCCTTGTCACATCCCAATTTCTATCCCCCCAGTCATACCTTGCACAGAGAGTGTCACAGACACTTTGTATCTGATGTTCCACATGGCTTCGATGTTGCCTGCTGCTGCGATAGCCCAGCAGCACCTGCAGTTTCCCTGGTGTGTTACAGAATAGGGCATAGTGGGGCATCTGGTGGGGTGCCCATTTCATTTCCCACGTTTTGGGCTGGACTGAGGTCAGCCAGGTCGGGGTAGATACCTGGTTCTTGACTGGTGAGATGATATGGGCCTTCCTCCAGTCACAGCTTTGGGACATCAGCTCCTCCTGCTTGTCAAAGCTTACCTTTCTGGCCACCCTGAGGTCCTTCCTGGCTACCCTCCTGTTCCCATACAGCTGGCCAAACTCTTCCTCTGGGGAACAGACAGGGCCAGAGAAGTTACAGCTTTGACATCCCTCTCCATGTTCTGCCTCTTCTGCTCCAGGCCTCTACATCCTTGGCCTTTTCAGTTTCCTGTAGTACTCTGGAGGCAGCAAGGCAAGAAAGCCGAGGCCTGGTAAGAGGCTAAACTCCCAGCCAATGCACTGCCCTGTGGCTGCTGCCTCTGGCCCCCCAAAGGTCCTGGGACACAGGCTGGCGCGGTTCCTGACCTGTGCTCTGGGATCTGGGGCAGATTGCCAGGCTGGTCCCGAAAGCAAGCGGAAGGTATGCTTTCCCACCCTCCATCTATGGACCAAGAGGGTCCCAGTACCTGTAAGGTCACTGAATGGAGTCACCCCAAACTCAGCTGTCCCCAACTCCTCTTCTTGTAACCTCTGAGCTGTGGCCAGATTGTGGACAAAGATGTCCAGGCGGCGAGCATACTCTGGACCAAAAAGGAGTTGTCTCAAGCTGGTGTCCAATCCCGGGGGCACAAAGCCTCCTTCCCAGGTGAGTGCAGATCCTTCTCTGTAGTCCCCAAGGACGCACTGCAGATGCTGACCCAAGGAAGTAATTACCCAGCCCACCTAGGGTTACAGTTGCCCCCAGAATCAGCAAGGGAGCCTCTGCCCCCCATGAGGGGAAGCAGTGACTCAGAAGGGCAAGTGGAGTGGTTGGAGATTGGCTTCCTGCTCACCCACCTCTACCGCCTTCCGCACACTTCTAACTGCAGGGCTGGAAGGAGAACGGAATGGGGTTGGGGGATGGGTGCCCACAGCCAAACTCTGTATTGGAGATGAGACCCAGTGAGTACCCCAAACACTGCCATCCTGTTAGTAGCCCTGGCCAAGCCTATTCCACCCAGAGTGTCAAATTTTTCATCTACTAAGTGAAGACAGAAAGGCAGACTGGGGATGGATGTGGCCCGTGGTACCTGCTTGGTTTGAGTAACTCCTGTTGAACTGGATCTGGAACAACTTGAAGACTTCTTTTAGCTCTAGCGGCCGGGGACCTGGGTCCTGGCAAGGGAGAGGAGAGAAAAGAAGAGAAGTCACCAGACTCCCACCTAAACTCCAGCCTCATGAAGACTGGCTGGGGTCCCCCAGTTAGCCTATGGCTCCTAGCGTGAGCTTGGGGGCAGCAGCCAGCTCTCCAGCTCTCCTCCCTCTGAGGAATGGGATACCCAAGCTAGCTGTTTCTGAAGCTGTGAACCCAGGCATGGGACTGGCAGGAGAGAACAGCAGGTTGGGAGCACTTACCTGGGCCTCCAAGGAGTCCCTCATGCCTGAGGCTAGGCCTGCCACCAACAAGACCAGGAGGCTGTGCAGATGGGCATTCAGCGCCATGGTTCAGAGCTCAGTGCCGCTTGCCAAGTGCTGGGGCAGGAAGCCCTGTAAACCAAGCTAGAGGGGCGGAGGTGAAGAAACCACAAAGGAAAGCCAGGTTCTCAGTGGACCCTCAGCAGACAAGATCCCTTGGGCTTTCAGGCTTTTGGCGCTACCTGCCTGCCTTTTTTTTTTTTTTTTTTTTTTTTTTTTTTTGTCCCTCTACCAACCTACTTCTTTTTTAGTTATTCAACACTGATTCTAGGCCACTCTGTTCTGGGCAGTTGTAAGTACTCAGAAATGGATCTGCCCTTAAAGAGATGGGGAGACAAATTGTAAGCGGGCACTCTTACTGCTCCTGTGAAGCCTGCTTAGCTCAAGCGCTACTTCCTTTGAAAAGTGTCCCCCCCCCCACCGTCTCTGGTGTAACCGTCTATGGTCCTGTGAGCCCCTAAAGTACCTGTGCTTGCTTGGATGTGCCTTCCAATGACACAAGAGGTGTTCATGGGCACGCTAAGTGTTTATTTACTGACCGAACAATTGTCAGCTTTTACCTCCTGTTCCTCTTTCCTGCCACATTCTGGGGATGGCAGTAAGCTCTCTCACTAAAGCTAAGGGGAAAGAAAGAACAGGTAGGGTGGAGGACAAAAGTGGTGGAGTAAAGCAGGCAAAAAAATACAATGTCTGGGATCTGAGGCAGTTGAAAAACAACAATTTAGTGAAGGAAAAAAACAAAGTGCATCTTTGGGAAGCAAGAAAATGCCATGAGGAAAAATAGAAACTGAACACAAAGCAGTTTAAAGAATAAAGCAGTCAAGGGGATTTAGCTCAGCGGCATAAGCACCTGCCTTATAGGCAGGCGGTCGTGAGTTCGATCCCCGGTACCAATAAAAAAAAAGAATAAAGCAGTCTGATGCATCACTAATTCCAGCTCCGAGGGAGTGGGACCCGTCTTCAGCAATATAGCAAAAGACTGGAGGGGGTCTGTAGCTCCAGGGAGAAACAAGGGAGCCAGCCAGCAGCACTGGCCACCGGGAAAGCCCGTGGTTATTATAAACTGCAACTTCAACACCTGTTTTACTCTGAAAATAACTCCCATGTGGCAAGCTGGTGGTGGAAGAATTGCAGTGCACAGCAGATTGTATTTGATGCTGTTTTATCGGGAGCAGTTTTAGCAAGGGGTTAATTGCTTTAAGACTGGGTGACACTTAGGGGTTCTGGAGTCACCATACCGCAGTGACTGTGTGGGAGGCAGACACGGGACAGTTACAGAGAGGGCATGGGCTAGACACAGGCCTGCAGAGAAGGGGAAGCTCAAGGCAGGAAGGGTATGGGGCTCCTGCCCGCTGTGGTGAGAAGCCAGGCTGGTCATGTATGGTCTTCAGAGCTAACTGGGTCAGAAGGTGCTGACACTAAGTCCAGCAGAATACTTAACCCGCCTATCCCTACCCACTGCTGGCAGCCTACAGCCCACGTCCAGCACAGAACTCAAGACCTCCTCGCTTTTTCCATCTGCCAGTGCGATCAGGGAAGCACCCTGGCCGGGGTGGGTGCCACAACCTGGGGTGTATAGACAAAGGCCCTGCAGAGCCGCAGGGCGCCTGGCAAACCCACTAACATAGACTGGGTGAAGAGCTGTGACGTACACGGGGACACAGGAATGGGAGTGTCGGGAGGAGGTGCAGTCCTAGGGCAGACAGGGTGGTGGCCCTGCTGGGTAGGGATGGCAGAGCAGAACTCAGCATCTGCACACACAAATGTGGGCATAGAAACAAAATAGGACTTGGTCCCAACTCGCTGTCCCTCTGCCAAAGCCCATGGATTCCCGTAGCCCATGGGTGCCAGAAGGAAAGCACTCATTCAAAAACAAGAATTTCTTTATCTCGTTGGGTTCCTGGAGCTTTTTAATTTCCTTTTTCCCCTTTTTTTTTTTTTTTTTTTTTAATTGGTACTGGGGATCGCACTCCTGATTGCAAGGCAGGTGCTTATGCCGCTGAGCTAAATCCCCAGCCCCTCCTTTTTCCTTTTAATTTTTTCTTATTTTTTTTACTTTTATCTAGAATTAGATCTAGAATTTATAGAATTATTAATTTTCTGTTATTTCCTAATAGGGTCCTTTCTCACTTTTTTTGTCTTACCTTCCTTTTCTTCATTTTTCAAATTTTACTTTCATTTTCCCCTTCCCATGCTTTCCATTTTATTGGCATTGCTGTTTAAGCTTTTTAGTCTAGATATTTAGTTGACTATGCTATCATCGTTGAATTCTTTTCTGTTAATAGGAGTATGGTTCTATGTAGTACATACTTACTGGCCATCAATATTTTGTTTGTATTATTGTAGACCTTCTATTTCTTTTTTTAAAAATGGTCTCACTATGTGGTTCAGACTGGCCTTGAGCTCACTATGTAGTCTAGGCTGGCCTTGAATTTACAGAGATCATCCTGCTTCAGCCTCCCATGTGCTAGGATTACAGGTCTGCACCACCACTCCTGGCTATTGGAGATCCTTTCTTCTGTTAACGGTGATACAGTTGTAGATTTTATTGGTTTTTATGTTATGTCAGTATCCAGTTTGCCCTTAACTATTGTTGCTATGGCCAAGGTGGCATAATTGTTTGTATTAACTGGTGGGGATTTTTTGGTTGTTGCTTTTTGTTTTTTGTGCTGGAGATGGAACTCTTGAAGCTGAAGCTCCTAGACTCATGACCTTGCACTTGCCACACTATTAATTTTTTTACTGTATCCTGATAATCAGGATATCTGGTTTGTCTTTATGTCATCAACAATACTGCAGTTTATGTCTGGAAAACTGGGAGCTGGGCAATTACACTGCATGCATCCCTCCCCAGATTATCAAAGGTGGCGGATCTTGAGACAGAGGCAGAGGCTTATAGTTGGCCATGCCAACTATAGACCTAACTAGAGACCTATCCATATTAGCAACAATTCTTTCCACTATAATACACTCACAGTCCTCAGCTGTGCATACACCACATGGAAAAAAGGCAACAAAATGTCTCCCAAAACTGAACTCCCCTGAGTTAGTAACTTTTCTCAATGTTGAGACAAAATACCTGACAGTTAACCTGAAAGTTAAAGGACAAAAGACGTATTTCAGTTCGGGTTCCTAGGGTTCCAGTCCTTAGACACCTGGCTCCAAGGCCAGGTGCCTTGGCAGAGGGGAAAACAGTCCATGGCAGGGCCGGCAAAAGGCAGCAAGTAGTAGCAGTTAACCCGCTTCTCGTTTATCCTATCCAAGCTACCAGCCTTTTGGGCAGTGCTACCCAGAGCTATGCTAATTCCAATCAGTGCACTAATTTAGTGCTGTGCACCCTGAATCCCAGTATCACACTCCCCAGGTCCAACCAACTCCAAAAAGCCCCAATTATGAATGTATGAGGCTTTGGTAGGACATTTAGATACAAGCCATAACACCCCCAAAGTTCATTCAGGGGCATTAATGTAGATAAAGTCAAAAGCCACAGTTGAGGGGGCTGGGGATTTAGCTCAGCGGCATAAGCGCCTGCCTTGCAAGTAGGCAGTCGTGAGTTCGATCCCTGGTACCGGTAAAAACCGAAAAAGACAAAAAAAAAAAAAAAGACACAGTTGAATTACATAGTCATAAAAGAAGAAACAAAAATATCTAAAAGGTGCTCAGTGAGCTCAAAGGTGACATATAGGACGGATTTAAAATGTTCATTGAGTTTACAGAAGATACTAATGCAAAACCAGTGGAGCTAAACAAACTGATACAAAATATGAATGACCAGTCTAGCAAAGAAAGTGCATGAAAAGCTTCTTAGCAAATCCTGGAAATAAAAAAATTCTGTTAAAGGATTCACTAACTGTGGGGTAGAGAAGCAGACCTCATCAGGAGGTGATCCATGCCTGGAAACTAGCACTATGCATAGGTCACTGCCAGAGTGGGGACAGCCAGACCCAAGCCTCTCTTCATGAGACAGTGCCATTCCTGAACTGGAGGGAGAGAACAAGGCCTCACCAGGAAGCAATGCCCGCCTGGAAACCATATCACTTTCATTGTTTTGTTGGGCTGGGTTTTATTCTCTTTTGTTTGATTATGTTAAATCTGATGGCATGAGCAGCTAATTAAAAGATAGCAAGACATCCATTTTGGATTTACTATTGGCTTCTTTTGAAGTCCTTTGTTGCATTCATTGCTTTGCTGTTATTTGTATTCTATTCTGTCCTGTTTGATTTTTACTATGTCCAAAGGTATCTGTGGCTATTTTGAAGACAGCAAAAGGCATTATGGTAACCATTGTTGATTTTGTAAGGTTTTTAAGTCCTGTATCACCTATACTGGTTTGTTTTGTTATGTTTTGTTTTGTTTGGTACTGGGGATCAAACTCAAAACCTCACACTTGCCAGGCAGGCGTTTATGCCTCTGACCTAAATCCCCAGCATTATACTGCTTTATTTTGATTGGTTTTATTCTGATTTATTTTCCTTGGTTTTATCCACTTTAAAATTTAAAAAAAAGCTCTGTTGAAGGTATGGGCATCAGAAGTGACCAGTGTAGGAGCTCAGCGGCACAAGCACCTGCCTTGCAAGCAGGCGGTCGTGAGTTCGATCCCCGGTACCGATAAAAATGAAAAAGACAAAAAAAAAAAAAAAAAAGTGACCAGTGTGAGCAGGGCATGGTGGTGCACTCCTGTAATCCCAGCACTTGGGGGGCTGGAGGATCCTTGCAAATTTGAGAGCAGCCTGTGCTACAAAGTGAGCTCAAGGCCAGCCTAAACTGCATACTGAGACCCTGTCTCAAAAAAAAAAAAAAAAAAAAAAAAAAAAAAAAAAAGAAAGAAAAAGAAAAAAGAAAACAAGTGGCCATTATGAGGATAGTGTGTCAGCACCAGAAGACAGGGTGAAAGCGTACTCAGAAACACCTTAGAATGATATCATTTAAATCATTTTCCGTAAGGAAAGGATCTTAAAAGCAGTTAGAGAAAAGCAGTGAACACTTAGAAAGGTAAACCTATTAGGGTTACATCAGACTTCTCAGCACAAACCCTAAAGGTCAGGAGAGCTTGGACTGAAGTGTTTCAACTCCTAGAAGAAAATAACTTCAAACGGAGCCTAGTATCCTGCAAAACTACCTTTCATAGTT